AATCATGATAGTAAATGCAGAAATAAGAAAGAGATGCAACTTTACAACAATGGGAAAGAGGTTCAGGTTTAGCAGATAGACCGAATCCTATTAAGTTTTTAATGCGCTTTTGGACCTTACCTAGAAGAGAAAAAGATTCTTTCGAAGAACCAGCCCGAAAATGACAACAGTATTCAATACAGGGACATAGTGGAATAAGAGATTTGTAGAGGTAGAGAATGGAATTAGGAGAGAGAAAATGGCGAGCACAATTACGAGAAACAACCTTAGCAGACGCAAATTTATCAATCGATTGTATACATGGTTTCCAAGAAAGGTCAGTAGTAAACGATAATCCAAGAATACATAAAGAAATGGACTTAGTGAGAAAGTTACCATTCATTAATATACGAATGTTGACAGTACTATGATTGTTGTTTCCAGTAAATAACTGAGTTTAGTTGGAGTTAAAATTTACAAGCCACTGTGAGCCACTGTTATAGAAGTCATATCAGATTTAAGACCGTCTGCCTGTTTTAAGCAATCGAAAAGACTTTTTTTTGTCAAAACAGGAGTATTAAGTTCATCAGCAAAAAGAGCTATTTTAGATGTAAGGTTATCAGAAATATTATTAATATAGAAAAAAAACAATATATATAGTATTGTGAGGTACCCCAGAGGATATTGGAAATGAAGAAGAGTGTTAGCCTTCAAGGATGACTTTAATAAAGGAGTCCAAAAATAAAGGAGTCCAAATATTAGGTACCGGATAAAAGATTTAAAAAAATCATTGCATTTTCAGAACCACCCAGAGGAAAGGAACTGAATACAAATTAGGATCAGAGAAAAGATATATATCAAGTAGTGATAGTAAATGATTAGGGTTGTCAGGAAAACGAGGCACAAAGTTAACTATCTGAGTAAGTGATTGAGAAATGCGGAAGTTATAGGCTTTAGTGCCAACAGGGTTATAGATGTTAGAGCCAAACCATTCAGTATGATGAGCATTAAAGTCGCCAATAACAAAAATATTAGCAGAGGGGTAAAGAGAGAGGTAAAGAGGGGTAAAGAGCATGGTCAATTTGATCAGATATTACAATTAAAAGAGTGCAGTCTTGGGAAGAAGGAGAATGGTAAAGAACAAAGAGATTGGTGGTAGATTAAAGAGGTGCCAAACGGAAGCACCCTAAAAAATTAAAAAAGGATTTGAACCTGATTTCACTGGTAAATTGATGCATATGTATACCCCAAGCCAAGCATGTGACTATTGGAGTCTTTGTGAATCAAAAGATGGTACCAATCAACACTAAGATCAGAAGAAAGAATAGCTGAATTTGAATTAGTCTGCAAGCAAGTCAATTGAGTTTTGCAAGAGGTAACTTTCAACTGATAGAACGTTGCTTCGCAGACCATTAAACTGAGTTTCAGAGCTGTACCCTCATTAGGAGATAACAGGAAGAGTTGTATAGCTACTATCAAGGAGGCAAAAGCAAGAACTTATGAGAATAGTTAATGAGATACAGCCTTCATCATTCTAGACAATGTAACACAATTTTACATCAATGCCAGCCTATAAAAATGAAGAAGGGATTCGAGGCAGCTTAGCAAAATTATTCTGCTTACCCCTAAAGACTTTGCCTAGGAGGCAACCTACAAGACCAGGCCTTCTCGTAAGAGGCGTGCGATTGCACACCTTATATGACCAAGCATAAAGTTCTTTGTTTTAACAACTTGACCACAGCTCTTTGCAAGTTTTGATAATTTGCGCGTTTAAAAAATGTGCTAAAAAATAACAAAGCAAATTAAAATAAAAATAAACAATCCATAAACTGAAAAAAGAATAAAATCCTTAAAATAATATATAATTCAAAAATTAACCTAAAAAAATAAAATATTCAAAGAATGATAAAATAAATAAAAACTAGAAAAAAAAAATCAAAAAATTTATTAATTAATGTTAACTTAATTGTAAACGAAAGTAAAAAAAAAAAAATTATCGCAGCTCGAATAATCTTTATCATTCCTTCCCATGAATAATTAGGCTGATACAAGGGCGAATCCATTGTGAGGGAAAGAATCCTACCTCCCCTCAGGTTTATTATTTATTTTTTTTAGAAATTGATGTTTAAAAACGTAAGTAACTTAGGCTGTTTAAAAGTGCCATGAAGTTTAATAAAATTTTGTGGTGCAAGTTTAAAATTTTATTAAAAAATAATAGGATACAGGGTGCGACAAATCAACAAAAGTGCGCGCATTTCTTAAAAGACAGACAGAAAAACAAACATCACGTTTCTTTAAATTTGATTAAGCAAACGTTGTCGTTTGATTAGGATTTTTCGAAACGAACGTATCACTTCAGCAATTTTTTTCAAAATAATTTTGCGATCATTAGTTTTTTATTTATTATAAAAAACACATTTAATATGAAAAACAATTAATTTCACAGACTTAAATTAATGCTTAAACTTTCTTCAATAGCGTCACTTTTAAGTAAAATAACTAAATACGCTTTACAAAAAAGTAATTATGTTTTAGCATGGTTTTTGCATGCGCTCACAAACATATACATAACTTTACTTAAAATGAATGCTTTTGCAAAAACTTCAAAAGAAACCATGCCCAAACATTTAGATTGCTTTTTTTAATTGAGAAAAGGGATCGTAACGTTTAACGATGGTTTCTTTTATGTTTTTATCAATTACATTAAAAGTTTAAAGCAAATGTATTCATTATAAAAAAAATTTAGGACGCTTTTTTAAAAATTTTCTTATTTTCCACAAAGTGAAATAATGTTTGATTGTATATTAAAACTTTTGCCCTTTTAAAAGTTTTTTCATTGTGCATTTATCATTAATATGCGCGCACTTTGCAAATGTGTAAAAAAAAGGTTTTAGAAAAATAAAAATTAAATAGATTTACCAAGCATCTTTGATAAATTAATAACTTATTAACTAGAATAAAAATTATTTGAATTTTATTTGACATAAATGTCTTAAATTAGACGTTCGTCAATGAATAAAGATACGCAAGTCAACGTTCATTAAAAAAAAAAAAAAAAACGATATGTCACGCCCTGGGATAAAAAATATGGCAGATGTGCTTGTTTCAAGATTATTGTAACTCCTTTTATTTAGTAAATATTTTCTTAATAAGAAATTAAATTTCCATGATAAAATGGTTTGTTATTAGCTTCTTTACTCATTTTGCCTTAAACTCTAATCTGAATATTTTTTTCAATGATTGCCTTTAATTAAAGTACTCAGGAAATTTTGTGGGAGTTTAATTGTAGTTATGGAATCAATTAAATTAAAATATCAAAACTTGCAAAGAGCCGTGGTCAAGTTGTTAAAACAAAGAACTATATGCGTGGTCATATAAGACGTGCGATCGCACGCCTCTTACGAGAAGGCCTGAAGACAGTAGCTGGGTGCAGTCGACATCTGCCCAAAATGAGTATTTTTATCAAGACACCATCGCTAGCCTTTACACAACCAAAAACCCCAGGGGGATTTTTAAGACCGAGTTTGTTTCTTTTAGCTTTTGTTGATTGTGGTAACTCCAAACATCACCTAATCTAGAATATAAGGATTAAGGAGAAAATATAAGGATTGCAGAGAAATGTCAACATAAGAAAAAGCTTAAATACTTTGGAAAATGAATATCACACTCTACAAGGCAGCAGGGGATGAGACAGGTAGTACTGGTTTACATAATACTAGTAGCAGGATGATTGTGATGATCCTGACCAGACCCGGAGTAATTGAATTACAAGAGCCACTCTTCTAGCAGAAATTTTAGTTGAAAGAAATGCGAATTTGTCATTGATAGAAAAACTTGACATGGCATTTTTAAATGATAAAAAAATAAAAATTGGAAAGAATATACATTTAAAATTTGTTTTCAAAAACAACTTGAAATGAGATTGCAGTTTTCTAAAAAAGATAAACTCATGAAAAATGTTTGCAAAACTTTTGCAAATATTTGAAAACTATAAAGCCGACAATTGTAAAATCGAAAGATGGATTTCCGGCAACATTGTTACCAAAATACAACCATCTTATAACGCTTGAAAGGTTTCTTACAGGCGCATCCCAGTAAGCACAGGACGTTTTAAAAACGTTTTAATTCCGTTCAATTTACGGTCGGACGTTAAAAAAACCAATACAATCGTTTTTAAAACGTTTTTTTGCAAACGTTTTTTTAAATGTTATTTTAAACGTTTTTTGAGCGTTTTTTAAACGTTTTATTTTTTTTATTAACTTACGAAATTTCTCAGTTAGCTTATGAACGTTTTTAAAACGTTTTTTTAACGTGATAAAAAAACGTTTTTTAAACGTACAGCACGGCAATATCTAAAAGAGTATGTTTACGCAAATAATGGCGTGACCTTCGATCAGGCGAATTGATTTATTTAAGTAAAAATTATATAAATTAGTATATATTTAAATCAACCAAGTGTATTGTTTGTATTCTTTTCTTGTAGAATTAAATTTGAAAATATATTGGAGTATTTTTAGTTTAAAGTTGTATGCCTTCGTTGAAACTATGTGTTTGTATTTCTACTTGAATCAAGTAGATAAGATTAATAAAGTTTTTATGGTGTGGTTAACTAGATTTTTTTTTTCTCTATTAAGTAACTTAATTGTTGAGTAAACTTGATTGCTTATAAAAACTAGGTTAAGTTTTTAATTCTACTTAATTATCAACTGCTTTTAATGCTAAAAAATTTATTTGGATTTGAGAAAAGGGAACAACATTCTCAGTTTTTCTTCTTTAACTCTAAAAATTAAAAATGATAATATCAGTGGCTTTTATAAAGGAAATACTGTAGTTAAAATGGCTGAAAGGAAAATATATGATTATTTGTTTCAAGAAAGGGAGTGACTTACTTCAAAATGTCATTTTAAATTTTTATTCTTTAATGATATTCTGGTGTTATTACCAAATATTTAGCAGTATGAAACCTATAATAATATATACCATACTGTATACCCTATTTTACTTATAAAGTTATTAATCTGTAAAGTAATTTGTAAAAAATTTTCAATTGTAAAATTGCTACATGAGAAGACAAGTTGTTAGATGAAATTCAAATATTCTCTATGTTTGTGTTGTGTAGGTCAAAAAATAATAGATGAAGATGATATTGATTGTGATGACTAAGACTTCATTTTAAGACACATCAATCTTCATCATTTTTAAATAAAAAGGATAAACACTATGGATTTCCATTATCTCAAGCAAGTAAGTCTTTAGTTAAAAATAATATTGTAATGTTTGTTGTAAAATGTTAACATGATTGTCAATATTAAAAAATATCATTCAAATGATGAGGTTCCAATTTTAACTTTAAATAATCACCTTCATGAAATCCATTATTTCAATATTATCAAAACTATAAATCTATGCAACAATTTTTCTTGTCTAACCCGAAATCTGAGAAAAACGCTAATATATATAATATAGCATTGCCACTATTAGGTATTTTACTGTCTATTAGTTTTTCTCTGATTTAGGGTTAGACCAGTAAAGTTGTTAAATTGTTAAATTTATGTATTTTAAATTTATTTACTTAGTTTAGTTAAGACTATGTAAAATTTAATTATTGTAAATTTGTTTAGACTTTCAATATTGTATGTTGCTTCTCTTAAATGAGATAAAAACCCAAGGATGCAAAAAACTTAATATAAAATAGTGTGAAGAAGAAGTAGTAACTGAAATGAACAGTATAATAGAATTTGATAAGTTTGACTCAGCACTTGACAATATTTCGTCTAGTAACTCTGTGGTATCTCTGCAGTTGTAAATTGCTAAATACTGATTTGACAGATTTTTCTTTTTTTTTAAATTTTCTTTACAATATATAATTTTTACTACTTAATTAGGAATTGTCAGATTTCCATTATTTCTTTCTATTAGAAACAAAGAGTTCAAAATATTGGTGGTAAGAACTGTCAAAAACTTGTGATAGCTATGATGAAGAGGTTAGTAAATTAAAAGTGCATTCCTATAAATACTCTGTTTAATTTTATAATGATATTACTCCCATCTTACAATCCATAATAAAAATCCTATGCATGGCTCTACATTGGCCGTTTTACCATAATGGGATGACTGAATAACCGTGAATTTCATACGCGCAAACTAGCACATGTGCGAAGCAGTTACAAAAACTGGCACAATGCCAAATGGCATAAGTGCAAATGGGCATAACTGCACAAAAAGAATTCCAAACATTGGCATAAGTGCAAACTGCTATAAGTGCAAACTGGGATATGTGTAAATTGGCATAAGTGCGCTAAATAGATTTACAAACATTCGCATAAGTGTGAATTGCCATAAGTGGGAACTGGTATAAGTGTGAAGCAGTTGCAAAAACTCGCAAAAGTGCAAACAACATAAATGCGAACTGGCATAAGTGTGCCAAATAACTTTGCAAAATTTAGCATAATTCCAAACTGGCATAACTGCAAAGTAGTATAAGGGCGATATGCCAATTAGCACTTAGGCCAATGTTTGCAAATTTATTACACGCACTTATGTCAGTTCGCACTTCTGCCAGTTTTTGTAACTGTTTCTTACTTAATCAAATTTTGCACTTATGCCTATTCGTAATGTTTGCTAACCTGTTTGGCGCACTAATGCCAATTTACACTTTTTCCAGTTTGCAAGCTTAAAGCTATAGGTTATCCAATAGCTTTAAACTTTAGTCCAGATAATTCTTTTAACCCAGATAATATTCATATATATGACTACACTAATGGTTAGTGTACACTTATGATCTGGACTACATTAATGGTTAATGTGCTATTTTTTAATCAATAGATTAGATTTAATTAATAGATAAACTGTATCGTTAAATTAAAATCTAAATGTTTAACTACATTTAGATTTTATGAATAAAAAGAAAAAAATTTTAAATACAGTAGTTAATTATAATTTCATAAATTATAAGATATAATATTATTGAAATATATTATTTTTAGTTTTATGACAAATTCACTCATGGCCAAATCTAATATGGCAGCTGGAAAAAGCAAAGGATCTTTTTAGTCTAACCAAGCTATACAACTTAATAAAAGGTACGTTTATATATATATATATATATATATATATATATATATATATATATATATATATATATATATATATATATATATATATATATATATATATATATAATCTATATATAACAATTATTAGGCGGGATTATATTTCTAATTTACCAAATACTAACCTGTTTCCTTTTTTTCTTCTCTTCAAGCACTGTATATATATATATATATATATATATATATTTATATATATATATATATATATATATATATATATTATATATATATTTTTTATATGTATATTTATATATATATATATATAACTTTTATATATAAATCTATATATAACAATTATTAGGCGGGATTGTATTTCTAATTTACCAAATACTAACCTGTTTTCTTTTATTCTCCTCTTCAAGCACTGTATATATATATATATATATATATATATATATATATATATATA